CACAAGTCCTTTCACAAAGCTAGTCACAAGTAACAGGGTGAACAAAGGCAAAAGAAATGCTTTTGTCACAGCTCATTTGAATAGCTAGTGAATTGGTTTTAAGACTAAATGACTTATGATGGACTCGAATACAACACTGTCACTCTAAAATGTCGTCAGTGGTGGTGGAATAATCAAGCCACATAATCCCAACCCGTTCTACCTTTTATGAATGACTGTGAAACACACAGTGAATCTAGACAACTTGAAAGCAATGATTTATGGATGAAAACCAACCTGTAGGGTTATGATTCCCTTGGTGTCTACTGCCCGGTGCCTCTGTAGGCTGTGGTTCATTCTTTTTGCTAGAAATAAAAGAGAATGAAGAAATAAGACATAGCGCTGCTCCAAATATAAAGAGTTCCTCCATAATTGTCAGACATGAACTTCGGATGAAGCTCAAATATGACAATATTATGGCCAGACAGCAGAAAGTGTGCGACACAGCCCGAGACATTACAGATGCAGGCCTGGAGAAATTGTTTCGGATTCATTTTAACCCTTCTTGCGCTGATCAGAGAGCTTCTATATAAATTCTGAGGAATACGCAGAATTGGCCAACCTGGGACTGAGCAGAGAAGTGACTTAAATCCAGCTGAAAAGTTGATTTGTTAGTTATCGTAACATTTCGCACAGGTATGTTGGTTTTCAGGTCGGGAGTTTTCACTCCTCAAGGACCACTGAAATTTCCCCCAAGGTATATGTACTTGCTCGAAAAATCCAACTGCCAATTCATGGGGTCATTAGAGCGATGACAAGAGCAATGGATGTAATGGTCGGCAATTTTAGACCTGTCTCACGATTGGCCTATGTTTTGATGAGATCACACTTTGTTTACAATTATGCTCTTCCATGGAACTTTAAATCTGCTGTCCCCTCCTGGCTCACATAAGAAAGCTTGAAGTGTGACATCATCAGTACATAGGAATAATGAGGGAAAATTGTCACTGGTTGAAAGGCTTGTCCCCCAAACGAGCTCTTTCACTTGGTTTTTACCTTTGCCTCGACGAATTTGCAGCCACTTCCAGCTGTTTTTGCTTCTTGCGCTTATCAACTGCGTCTCTGTGTGTCAAGCTAATGAGGTGCTTGGCATAATCTGACAGCGAGTCGCTCCTGGATCGGCACAAACAGCAAACGTGAGTCTTGCCGCTGCAGAGGGAAAGCAAGGACAGACGTACACTGCATCAACGACCATATTGTAGGCTCAATCAAGGTACTTTCTGGCATTTTTATTTCACATAGATCCCTTGAGCAACTCCTGTGTTGTGTAAGTAAAACCTCTGCAGCTTTCAAAGTCTGTGACGTGATGACTGACTTATCTTGTCCTTGATTTATTAAACGGGGTACAGTCTGTTGCACTGTCCTTACACGAGGTCAGTACCTACGAGTGCATTGCAGTGTGACGAGAATGCGACTCCAAGTGGCAAGCTAACCTTGATGCCTACAAAGGGAGCACTCACTGTAGGAGGAGATTTCGAAATAAAAATGTTGCAAATCATGTGTATGATGTGGCTATTTAATCTGCAGACAGTGCAATTCAGAGCCAACACATGTATACCCAAATCCAGGCCAGTAATCTTGTTTATTAATGCTCTCCCATGCACCTCAAACTTATGGAGGATCCACACTATTCTGACCATTACAAAAGGTGATTTCAGCACATAATGGCATCTTTTTCACCTGTTTCAGAACAGTTCATAATAGGGTGAGTTTCATTTCCATCCATCTTCTAATAAAAAGAACAGATAAGAGGGGGCATGATGGATAAGATATATGTAGTCATTATTCCTTTGGGGTTTTCCTCCCACCTCTGAAACTGTAACGGCTTCTCACTGTCTCCTCTCTACAGGTTTCTTCAGGCTTGCGAGCTACAGTGCCTAGGGCGCTTTTGAGGAATCCTCGGTGTCATTACTAGAAATACTTCGTAATAATATTGAAATCAAATCCATCATTTAACAGCTACATGTACGTACAGGGAAGCTGAACTTCTCAGCTCAGTTCAAGGGTGAAGCTACTGACCCTTGGGCCAGAACCTTGTTTTCACACAAACCTGCCGTATCGAACTTCCAGCTGTTTGTGGTGGATCATGGACCAGAAGTGCTCCTCAAACTGGGTCCAGGTGCCGTAGTCCAAATTGCACACTTGGCACAGGAAGCCCTCGCCGCTCACGGGGGCCCCGCTCATCGTAGCTTCAGTCATGCTGGATGGCAAGATCTAACCGTCCAGTCTTTGCCACTTGGATCTTGATCTGAGGGAGGCATAAATGGAAATGGCTTAATTACCAGAAACCACTGGAATATTAATTATACATGAAAAACAGAAAATAAAAAGGACTATTGACACTGGCAAATGAGTTGAGCATTTTCCTTCAATTCCCATGTTTTTGATCATTTCTGTGGCTTTACAAAGGTGTCACATATGGAGGACGTTTTTCTGTCAGGATTTTAGTATTTTTCGGTATTCAATATTTTGTGGTGAAGGGTAATACCCTGACAATGCGTAGCATATTCACAACATTACTGGAAAGTTGTTATTTGGACATCAGCCAATAATGGTCTTTGGACAATATGGCAACCTGTATTTCTAACTAATATTTATAAACTAAATAAGTTAGTGGGCCTGACGTTTTGATCATACAAGAATCAGCAGCCACATTTTGAGAATTATTGCTGGAACAGCTGTAGTAGACGACATTGAAATCTAATGTTCTTAATACACAAATTTAACCACATTAAATTACATATAGAAGGCTACAGTAATATTGTCCACACGATGGTAAGAAGCTTTGCCCGTCTTTGCAGCAATGCTGAACAAAAACATTGTCATGTGAACTGTTTGTTTGCCTAAACTTGGTTTCTTGTTGCTAACCTTGTGCAATGACTGGTCGATTTGAAGTCTGCACAAAACAAAGGTCTCCATGTTGAACTGCACATGGCTATGACACTGTCAAAAGAGGGCGAGTATTTTCATGATCTCAGGACAGGACTTGGTCCAATCACTTGAATTACGGGGGCTCCTTGTTCTGCTTCTCCAAGCTTGGGGAGGCAGCGTGTGCGGGGTGAGAAGCCCAATAAATCAAGGGTTACTGTATATTTCAGGGGTGAGATTGACCAATGATAGAAATAGCTGAAAGCAGCTGAAAAAAGGCATAAAGAAGCTGAACTGTGAAAATCTCCTATACTTTAGTAAACAACCAGTAAGGAAAAAAAGCTGATATATAAAACTGAAAAAGCCGAAATCAGCTAAAAAGCTGAGAAATCTCACCCCTGGCTTGCTGTCCCTTCCCCTGCTTTAAAAATTGGTCCACCAACATTGCCTAGAACTATGGGGTAAAAACACCGCAAAGTTTGCACTTTTTACACCTGTTCCCCCTTCGAAGTGCAATGACGATGACACTAAACACCATGCGTGTGATGCCTAATGGTCTCACGGATAGACCAATATCTACAATCAAATGTGAATTCAACTCTCAAACTTGCCAAGCAGTATTACATGTTGTGTTACATTCCTGTTTATACAGTTAGCAAATGTGTAATGCTGTTCAGTCCATGTGGGGTTAGCTCAGGTCGAAAATTGTCTTGATTGCATGAACGTTTAGCATTGGCGTGCATGCATCTACACGTACTGTACATGTACAATACATGTATAGCCATTCCACTCAAGACAAATTTTGGGGCTGACATACATGTAGGCTGACAGGGTTGAAAACTGGCAACGATTCACACATGGAAACTTTTAACCTCACCCAAACCCTGCGTCAACCCCGAGAACTGACCTCAACACGGGCTGAACTCAACCCCGCTCTGGACCGTGCATGGCTGAGATTTTTCATCCCAGGTTGAAAGTCGTTCATGCTCATTCCTGGGTTGAACTCACCCTGATACGTACATGTATTCGACAAGCATGGCATTCATGGCAAGCCTTGTAATAAAAAGTTCAGTTTGCACAAACATAACAAAAGTGTGCGAAACAAGGCTGGGTTGAATGTGGGGTTGAACAGTCCAATTTTAACCCTAACCCTACACAATACTACAAATTACTAGTTGTAGTAAAATGTAGTATTCAGCCCTGTCGCTTGTAAAGAAGACATGACTTTATTGTTCTGTGAAGCCGTAAGTTACAATAGATAAGACAATGTACCATACAGTGCTGTGGCACTATTTATGCATGGCTTTATTATTCTCTGTACAATAGTAGAAGTAACCTAGCCAGAAGTAGTAATTTATAGCGCTAGGTCCTTCAGGCTCTACTTAGTCTTTTGTAGTACTGAGTAGTGTAAGCCAAACAATATGCTTGGCGGTAGGGTTAAACCCAGGGCGGCAGTGAAGCTAGGTTTACACTACATGTATGTTCCTGGCGGCCACGGCAATCAAGTTTGCCTGAAACGTAGTGCGCCTTGGGATTTTGGCAATTTTTTTCTCCATAGTCAAGTTTTATTAGATCCTGCTAATTATTCTCATGGTCTATTTTACTGCCCATACAAATCATGCTCGGATTACGTAATAAGCCATTGTAAAGTCCGCACATTTCTAATGGTGGTAGACAGGGCTATTGAAGTTGTCTTCAGTTGATTTCTCGAAAGTAGTTTTTTGTCATGTTGCATGAAGTTGCCCTGCCTGTTCCGGCTTTCCTACTCCCTCCCAGACCGTGCTCGCTGTATCAAACCCATAGGAGAACGCAACACACTGCATCGCACCGGGCCTGTAAACCGTCGCACATCTGGACGCTCCATGATTGAAGTGAAGAAATGGCTATTGTACACCCTAGCTTACCGTGAGAACCATGACAAAAGTGAATAGCAACCGTGACAAAATACCTGCTAAATGAGGTAGAACGTGACTAAACTTGAAAGGACCATGAGATGTCGGGGAATCCACATGCTTCCAGTCCCATGTACTGTTGCTTTTTGTTGTGTTCACCCCGTTTTACTTCAGCCTAGGCCTACTGTACCCCAAGAACTGTGGGGTCCGACGTCCGCTCCTCTCCCATGAAGAGAAGCGGCCGTCGGACCCCACAGTTCTGAGGGTAGGTCTACTACACGTAGGTTTCTCATCCACACCGTGACTGCCGTGGTAAAATTTTTGACAGTTTAAAAATCTGGCCTGGCATCCACGGTAATCACGGACTGTCACGTTTGCCCATCCCATCCCCCTGCATTGTCTCACGTCCATACCGTTTTGTCCACGGTGGCCAGAAACGTGATTGCCGTGGCCGCCTGGAACATAGTGTAAACGTAGCTTCATGGGTTCACCCAGGGTTCAATTCAACCCGGGTTGAGCGGCTGCGGTGTGAAAATCTAAACCAGTGACATGGTCTGACATAAGGGTTATTGATTATTATTATTATATATTTCTGGTAATGACACTAAGGATCCTCAAAAGCGCCCTAGGCACAGTAGCTCGCAAGCCTGAAAAAACCTGTAGAGAGGAGACAGTGAGAAGCAGTTACAGTTTTTAGAGGTGGGAGGAAAACCCTAAAGGAATATTCTGGGTAATACCCACAGAATCAGGTACAGGCTGAAAACACAATCCACATGTGGACTAAGCCGGGATTCGAACCCAGGCCGCAGAGGTGGAAGGCGAGAAAAGAACCATTACGCCAACCTGACTCCCCTGATGTCGTTAGTGTGTATAACATTAACACTAGCTGATGATTAACAGATTAGGTACACATTATAGGCTATGTGTACCCCAGAAATGTGGGATTCAACGTCCGCCCCGATACCACGAACGGACCCCACAGTTCTGGGGGTAGGCCTAGGCTACGTCACGTGCAGCTAGCTGCGTTCACATTTTTGTGAAGTAGGCCTACTTCGCTTGGTGACAGGTGCTTTCAGATACCGCTGACAGCTAAATTGCAGTAATTCGTGTATGACGCAAACATCTTTTTAAAGCTCGTAGAATTATATGAGAAACTAAAGTCTTTACCCATGCCAAGCTCCAACGCTTGCTTAGTACGGAGTACCTGCGCTACAGTGAGGTTGCACGGATCGGACGCGGACCTTGCATGCTCTACGTTTACGGTATACTGTGTAACAACTTTAGATTTTGTCATTTTAATGTTGGTATATTCAGAGGAACCAGTCTAGGCATCGCCAGTTATGCAGAACAATAAGGATACGTACAGGTACAACACTGCAAGAAGACGGTACGTGACATCGCCTCACCAACTGTTGGTCAATATACAGGTACATGAACTGTATGCATTGAGTACGCATCGATGAGCGCAAGACAAGTCCATCTTCCATTCCAATGTCAACTTCCTTCTCTTAGCAGACGAAAGTGATTTGTTTCAAAACACGTGATTCCAACCAATAGTGTACACTGAACTGCGATGAAACTTCTGGGGCATCTTTACCGAAAGTAAAATGCAGATCAAACTGAGCTGGGGGGGGGCAGGGCATGGGATGGGTCACATTCCCCTCCCAAAGTTACAACAATGATTCTGGCTGTGAAAAACGGTTCAAAATCATGTACCGTATTCTAGGTTGAACAATTTATTTTTCTAATATTCCTGAGCTTTTTTAACACTTTCTTCATCTTTGTAAGTAAAATAATGTAGTTAAAAACTTCTATTGCATGAAACTAATTGAAATTCACTCTCACTTTACAGACATTGCATTAAAAGATCCATATCAAAAAAGTAATCCCAACAATACCATATCTTGATATGAAAAAGATGGTGTCAGAACACCTCCTGCCAAGTTTGAAAAACAAAACTAAACCAAACATCAAACTAAACCAAACTACATGTATAGCTTGTAACCGAATCAAACCAATCACAAACCTAGCCAAACCACACCACCCCTGACCTCACCCCCCCGAAAAACTATGAAAAGATCTTTGGATCAAATGCATTTATAAAGACGATGGAAACAATTCCCCATTTCAACAGTTTTCAACTTTTCAAGTGAATAGTGAATCCTTGATAGATATGTGCAGAGGTATAAAAACCTACAAACTGAACAAAGTTTTGAATTTCTTTCATTTTTGAGTGTTAATACAGTATCTAAACTTTTTTCCCCATAAAACATGATGTAGCAACAGAATACAAGTGCACTCTGGGGGTAAAAATGTATGAGTAATTCAGGACCATTTTAGACTAAATCTAATTAATCTTAACACTTTTGAAATAAACATTGGTTTGGTGGAAAATAAATGTTGCTCACATCAAGACTAAAAGATTAAATTGAAATCTAGAGCTTGCTTGATCTTCTGATGCCATGTCATAAAATACATCTAAAACAGCTACATGTAGATATATGCATCAGAAAGTACTTGACTTTTGTTTTACATGAGGCCTACATGTACATGTAGGTACAAATTGACGCATTGTTTCAAACAGTTCGGCAAATGAGTGCAAAGCCAGTCGATCTCTGCTTTTCACACTTTGGTATATTATCGGGTACAAAATTCTACCACTCAAAGTGCAGGAGGTTATCATGACGTCTGGGGCTTTGTTCTCAAATGACCATGTTTTTTTTGGAAAATACTGAACTGGCCTATTATTAACAAATTGTCCATATGCTTCCAGAAGTCAGAAAACCCCAAATTCAAACATGGGAGCTGCTACCATTGTATGTAAGCTCTTTGCTATCCATACATGTACCTCATACTAGTGGTACTGGTTTTGGACAGAAAGTACATGTAACGTAAGTTTCTGATAGAAAATAAACCTGCTCTGGTGCATTTATGAACTACATTGTAGAATCTGAACATATCTGTGTAGGTACATTGTATACAGTTTCAAACATGCACAAATCATTTAAACAAATCACTTCCCCCGTTTACGAGGTTTCAGAGGTGGAGAAAAGGATACAAACAATAGCAGCAAATCTGGGAAGGGTAGTTTTACTATTCTACAGGGTCACTGAACTTGTTCAAGTTCACACTCTATATCACAGTCATGTCCACAGCTTCCAAGTGTATTTAATAAGCTGGAGCTGAGCAAGCATAGAGTTTGCAAAATAATGATAATGATTGCTTTTTCATAGTGTCAAATTACCAGAGGATACAGGGTACTCGTCACTATTATTATCCCTGCTGATCTGGTCACAAACATTCCTTAATCCATCTCAGCTCCCTGGAGAGTATACAGCGCGATGCTGCCGTATCAGACACAAATGTCATACATAACAGCCATCTCAGCTCTGACAGGCACCCATTTCTACCCCTGGGTGGAGAGAGGTACGTGAGAGTAAAGTGACTTGCCAAGAGATTCTTCAAAAATCATTTAGCCAGCAATTCACGGACATGACTTCATGTAATGTTAAATCAATCTGTTAAGTACTTGCCAAAATTATACACATATACAAAACAGTGATTCAAATAGTTTCAATAAAAGTAAAAGCTACATGTATATCAAGTTTGAAATCATTATTCAACACACACACACCTGTTAAGTCCAATACAGTTTTCATATGCCGTGCACTATACATGTATATTGTCAATAAACACGGCATTTAACACATTCTAAATTAAGAATTTTAAATTGTTAAAACATAGAAGCTAACTTTACACATTACTTTGTAAAGAAAATTAATCAGGACTTATAACAATAGAATTTTCAAAAAGAAACTTCCACTGTTGGTGGCTGAAAATTGCTTGGCATATATTTGCATTGTAAATAGAAGAGTCATACTCAATCCATGATGTACAGATATAAAAGCAACATAATCACAACAAGAGACACCATTAATCTTCCGAGACATGTTTGCGTACAACTTTCCTCTTTCTTCAAAATCCACCACTGTGCAGGAAAACACTGACACATTTCGTTTGGTTTGTTTTAGGTACATTGTGTACACACATACTTAGACTTTAAGGGATCCAAGACCCTTGATACATGGTGATTCATCATGCCTGGGCTGTATGCATTTATGCATCTTCCTCCACCCTGAAAATTCTTCAGAACCTAATGATGGATTTTGTAGGATTTGGGACATACAGTAAAATGTAAGGATAATGAAACACACATCAGAGACAAGCTTCATGTACTTTTGTCCGTATCCAATATCCCTAACACAAAAACACATGAAACCTCCCAAGATCTATCAAAATGAAACATTTTGTAGTTCAGGGAACACTCTTTATGCGTGTATTCAAAGTTAGGAGATAACGTCCCATCTTCAGTGAATGTGCAGTTAGATGAGCTCTTACTTCCCTTATCTTGAAGAAGTACAATGTATGAAGAGTTTCTAACAAAACAATGAAAACAATAGGTATGAATCCTAATGGACTTGGGTAAATGTAGAATGAATGAACATGATATAAAAGTATTTGATATCTGAGGATTGAAACCATGCATGTGTAGTTCCACAAATTTTATACATTACAGGATTGTTGAAGAGATTTGGATAACATGGGAAGATTTTATATTCTATTAGTTTAGAAATAACAATAGAGCACTTCATATTCACAACCTGATTAGAAGTTAATCAACACTTGTGTAGACTCTCAAGCCCATATTTCGCTCGCTCCCGTTGACTTGACTGTAAATGGTTGTACTCCCTTGATAGGGAGTGGTGCTTGGTACCAAATGTAATCATCACTCTCAACTAGAGCTTCTGTCACAGCAGTGCCAGCGTCTATTTCAACCTTAGATTGTTCAAGCATGCAACAGCTGTGGTGACCACCACAACATTTGTCATTTCCATGATTTAATTTGTGGTCACGGGCAAAGCCCACACTGTGCTCGACGTGCCCGCAGTGTATCTCGCAGCGGTACAGCTGACCCCGCGTTGGTGCCTTCAGTGCCATCTTGGGCTGGAACCAGCTCAGCCCACTGTCCCGGTGGGCCCGCACCAGCAGGAGGGTGTTGGTCAGGGGCAGCTGCTTGGCCTCCCAGATGGGAGAGTCTGTGATGAGGGTCCTCATCAGGGCCCGCACGCAGTGTTTGGTCCGCAGGTCCACTAGGCTGGCGTCGTGCACCGAGACCTGGTTATGGAAAACGATCTCATGGGCCTCCTTTGGGCTGACGGCCGTGGCACCCAGCAGGATTAGCACTCGGGGCACGAAGCTGAGGTTGAAGACAGCATCAATATTTGCCAGCAGTTCTTCCACGGTCGATATAAACTGCCCTAACCGCTTGTAGGCTGCACTGGACAAATCTTGCTTTTCTTTATGTCTTCCATTTTCCTACATGGTTCAAAAAGGCCAAGTAAAGACCAATTAGTTTCTTGTTCCCACCTGCTTTCTAAGGTATTATTATTATTTATTTGGCCATCAAGCAAAACAATACAGAAACTGGCAGTGAAATCAAACAAACTGAACAAAATCAGAGGATAACAGGACAATAGATAGTAAGGTGGATAAATGGAGAGATAAGAAAGAGAAAAATAGGCAAAAGGGAGATAGGGACTAAATAAAAGCACTATAAGCTGGCCTGGATAGACAACAGTATAATTAAACACTGCGGTCCAAGGACCTATCCAAACCTAAAATGCCAACACAGAACATATATACATATATGATAAAATATTTGCATATTATCAGTGCTCTGGGCCCAACCTCACTCAGCACCGCACAACACCCCCACACACCCCAACCCAAACCCATCCCACCTTTCTCAAGATGCATCCAACTCAAGCCAGTCGCTGTCCTTGTGAAACGGCCCAGACCACAGACAATATACATGGAATAGTGCATTTCTATATAATTGATATAAAATTAGAATTATATAAAATTAGCCTTTACAAGCTGGAAGTTGAAGTGTCATTATTCAGTTTAACAATAAATTTCTGGACATTTCCAAGTATGTATAAAGGCAAACTACAGGTCATAAAAGTGGGCAATCAGGTTTCGATTGAAACATGTTATTAAAAGAGTCAACTGTCGCAGCGTCCTTAATGTGAGATGGGAGGCTCATCTAGATGCGTAGAAATGAATGGATTGGGGTGTTCTTCATTGCAAGTGTTCTGGCAAAGTGATGGCAGAAGATTAAAACATCGTGATGGCGGGAATTTACATTAGTGTTTTAATAACCGAATTAAAGTCAATTAGACCATGAAAACACTTTATGACAAAAGTTACAGTGAGCTGTTGCCTCCTAGAGTCCAGTGATGACCGATCTCAGTGTGCGCAGTCTGTCGGCATAATCTATTGCCCCTTTGCTTTGCTTCAAGCACATTCTGCTTGCTTGTCGTTGAATTCTCTCTAGTTTGGTGATTGCTGTTGATGTGTATGGGGACTTGTAGAGAGATGACAGGGCTGAGGAAGACATACCCCCTGTGATCCGCTAAATGTAGCCTAAAGTCCTGTTTGCTTTGGAGATGACTGTATCTACGTGATTGTTCCGGGTTAAGGTGTCCTTGATTATTACTCCAAGATACTTGTAGGTGGTTGTGGTAGTAAGGCGAGAGCCATAAAGAATGTATTCAGGGAGAGAAGTTTTCCTTGAACGAGACATGTGCATGACTGTGGTCTTTCGAGAATTCAGCTTCATGCCGTTCATGTCACTCCATGTGGCGATTTAATCGAAGTCTGACTGAAGGGCGTGTTCATCAGTAGGTGATTGGATGGGCTGGTAGATCAAGGTAGCACTTACTCTTACACCTGATGCTGCCTGACTAGCACAGCTGCCCATCCTTTTTTAATTTAAACCAAGTAATTATTTAATATAAATTCCTAACTTTCAGCTTACAAAAGGGTACGGTCATTGTCATTACTGATATTTCCACACAATCTTATGGTTTTCTGAAACAGTATAAGATTTGGCCATTTTAAATAATGTAAACTAAAAAAGTACTAGATTTTCACTGTCTAATTGTTTTTTTATTTCGCAATTTGCATGGAGTTTATTTCAAAGACAGCATCAAAACTAAATCAAGCATGTCAAGTGACATGGTACAATGTACAAAGTTCATAAAAACAACTTACTACTTAGGGCCTAAATAGGCCCTATGGGAAAAATTTATCATGTTGACTGCATGTGTTTGTTTTTTTTTTTTATCCAAACCCACTTGGACAAAAGTCTCCATCCTTTTTACCCCCAGAACTGTGGAGTCCAACGTCCGCCCTGCTCCCGACGTGCCCGAGCGGGGCGGACGTCAGACCCCACAGTTCTGGAGGTAGGGCCTACTTCCTTTTAAGGAGACATTCTCTCTTTTAGGAGAATGATTACGTCTCCAAATGAAAGGACTTCTCATATTTGAAAGACAGTCTCTGAGTTCTGATGTGCGTCTTGCAGACATCACACAGTCTTGTAATGTCACTGTGTCACTTAAAGCATGGAGGAAGGAAAAGACCTTCCTCCACTTAAAAGGTAAAGCATAGCAAGGACCCGCGGTCAGATCAGATCCATCATACGTAATACATACGTACATGTAAGAGAGCCGCAGCAGAACCAGACTTCCGTCGTTCATACTCGCATTTAATCTGTTCATATGCCATTGGTATCTGATTCCTCTGAAACATGAGGTGCTTCAACATCTCTTTTACAATGTTAGCCTGAACATGCGGGGCAACTCTTCCTTTCAAAAGCACCTTACAAGTGGAAATTTGTTGCTCCTTTTTACGAGTTGATGCGGCCATTTTGCATTTTGCTCAACTTCATATTTCGCGGTCAGAGCATGGTACCTCAGATCCACCGACGTGCATCTTTGTGGATTTTTGACTATGAAGATAGGTATCAGGCCAGCAAGGGGAAGCAAAGCTCAACCTCGCAACCCTATCTTTAAAGGTAAACCGAAGCGCTTTAGAGGCTCCATGGTTCTAGTCAATCGAATCGACGGGGAACGAGCTCACTATAGCTGCTTGGATCGCGGGAACTTGATCCCGGCCCAGTAACCGTTGGCGATACGCGATAGCCATCAACTTTGGGTGAGAACTAGTTTCCACTGATACTAGGCCTAAGCCCCCTAGTGATAATGAAACCCAAAATTTACAATTTGTTACATTTCTAATTCTGAGTCATGTTAGGGCCTACTGGCCTAAAGATTGTAGTCTTAGTAAAGTACACTGGACAGCAAAAGAAACTTGTCACTTCGGTCAAAGGCCACACATTAAAATTCACTCCATAGAAATAAACAATTTTGTTTGTACACAGGTATGCCGCAATACGCCTTACTAACCACATGCCCAAAAGCAAGTGATTATCTTTATAACAAAGAAGAAATTGACATACACAGGAACTTGGTTACTGAATCACAAGTCACAGAATATAACAGAAAAGCACTCTCCACCAAGCAAAAATGACCCATGAATGGACATTTTAAACAACCAATAAAAAAGTGAACACCTGTTTTGTCAAAATGATTTGCATGAGTGGTTTCTGTATAGGGATGCCATCCTAATATTGAAACATAATGATTGTGACTTCATTATTTCGTCCTGTGACATTGATTTCTGTGTAAAACTTGAGGCTCCTGTTATATTCTGTGACTTGTGATTCAGCAACCAAGTTTCTGTGCATGTCAATTTCTTTTTTGTTATAAAGATAATCACTTGCTTTTAGGCACGTGATTAGTCAGTAAGGGGTATTGCAGCATACCTGTGTACAAAAATTGTTTATTTCTATGGAGTGAATTTTTATGTGTGGCCTTTGACAGAAGTGGCAAGTTTCTTTTGCCCCAGGGTGCAGACTGATAAATTAACTCCGTAGCATGGTCACAGTGGTGACCGATGGGAAGTTGGTTCCTCATTCGACCATTTTAACATAGGGCCTAGCCTTTTTATCGTAGTTCCAACGCTGAATTCGAATAAGTAACCGTGCGACATTCAGGATGCACACCCCTGGAAATGATGGAGAGCAAAAAAACCAAACTGTGCCACCATGCACATCCATTCACCTGTACCTTGATGACCTTACCATTGTTTGTACATTCACAATGATGTCATGGATGTGTACACGCCTGCACACACAACTCTCTCCTACAAGTTCAACTACGCATGACAAGGCTACAGGGGCATGGGGTTTTTCATGGTCAAACAAGCAGTTTGTTTTTGTCCCTTTTGCACTCCATCGTCTCGAGGGATGTGCATCCTGAGTGGTCGCCGAATGTCAAACGGTTACTTAACGTTGAATATCAATTACTTAAATGTTGAATGTCAAACGAGGATCAAGGAATAAGTAACTAACTTCACATTGGTAACTGAGTGGTAGAATTCATAGACCTGAACAATTGCAGAATACATGCATCCATGGACCTGGAGGAGAAAACAACTCCTCCAAGTATGAGGATGCCCTACAACCTGCATAATCCACCTCGTAATCAGCAAGACCCTACAAGGTCAACATGTCACACTTCAATTGCCCTCATGAAACGTTTTCAGGCCACCTCGTAGCTGCGCCACCATGGCCACGTAGCCGGCAAACGGGATAGACCTACATGTACATGTAGCTAGTTGGTTTGGAGTCTTTGGATTATGCCACTGTGCGTGCTGTCATTGAAACTATGGAACTAGTTCATGGCAATAACATGGCCCACTTTGAAAGAAGACAATTTGTTTGCTTTGTTACTGGCTATAATTTTGCTCACTTACGTTGTGTTTGGCAACAGAAATTGTGTAATCATGATGTAAACACATGGGGACCTACAGCTGAAATAGCAAAAAGGCCCATTGGGAATTGGCAGATACCCAAGGAGCGTAGGGCCAGGGCTGACCCAATGCAAGCTGAGATAAACAACTTGATATTTAAGTGAATTAATGACATAATTTGTCACGTTCCATTTGTCATGTCTTCAGAACAATAACCGAGCAGCAAGAGCCATGAGTCGTAAGATCTACTTTTGTGGGAGTATCAGGGGTGGCCGCCAAGATGTGGGACTGTACGCCAAGATCATCAAGACGTTGGGCAGCTATGGCCAAGTCTTGACAGAGCATGTTGGGGATGATGACTTAGACAAAAATGGTACAGTACATGTACATGTAATAGGAGAATGTGTTTCCTTAACTTTCTCTCTGTAATGTCAAATGCATAGGGCAGTCCCAGGCTGGTTCACCAGGGTCTACTCTGTTAATCCCTTGGTGATTTTTTCTTGTCTCATGTGTCTTCGTTTATCTGATGGTGCCCATTGTCGTGCTTTAGAAGTGATTCCTGAGCCGTTCACCCTCAAGGAGAAAGTCACTTCCAGAGTAGTACTGCCTTGTTTCCCAGCAATAGAAATCAATCTTCACTAGAATTTACATTATCCACAATGCTGCTAGATGTTACAAAGTGCCGCAGGCATGAAAGTCTGTTGGAACTTGTTGCACCGAACGAATACATATAGCTTCAGCAGAATAAACTGCCAGTGTTGAGACAATGGGAGCTCTGAGAAAAAGTCCCATGGAACAATGCCACTATCGTCAGATCCAGTAGTGGCTGGCAACCTCAGACGCTGTGGATGGTAGGCCTTAGGACAGTTGGTTTGTTGGATGTTGTCACATTCGGCAGGTTCATTACTGGGACAAGTGCTGTGCCCTCTTGTTTTCAACTAGCCAAAATTTCCTGGAGGTTTAGGGTGAAAATTTGTCAACCACAGTGAGTGACATTAGAACCCATTACTGGGTGATACCCTAACATGGCTTGCACTCATGTTGATTTGCGTTGTGTTAAATTTGAAGCATGCCCATTCAAGCTACATGGAAGTCTTGGCTTTCAGCTGTTATGATAAATTATAACTTTATTTTGCCAGTTAAAGATAGATCAATGGTACTTAGTAAAGTACACTTTATGTACATTTTAATGGGACTTGTAACAGAGCCTACATGTATGCCAGACCTTCAGCTGGCAAAGCAAACAAGCCAAGATGGTCCTCAGACCTGCCAGTCCTCATGTACACAAAGCAGACAAGCCATGATGGTCCTCAGACCTGCCAGTCCTCATGTACACAAAGCAGACAAGCCATGATGGTCCTCAGACCTGCCAGTCCTCATGTACACAAAGCAAACAAGAAAAAATCGTAATATCTGAGAACTTCAAACTAAGAAAAATGGCAAGAGTATTGCACAAGACAATGGCAAGAATACTGTCATTGTCACTGCTTAATTGGTTGAATTGGAGCTCAAATTTAACAAGGGTAAAGTTATTGGCATGTTTCTTTTTGCATTACACAAATTTCCTGTTCAGTTGCCAGAAACAAGCTCATAGTTTTGACCCCCTGTCTCCCCAGAATTTAATTCTCTTAAAGCGAGTGCTGATATTTATTCACAGGTAAGTTGAGGAAAATTTCTAATGAATCTTTCAAAATCGCAGTGTAACTGGTGAGATTGGATTCTCATTCTGTGAGAATTACACATTAGAACTTGTACTTCCTGCATACTCATGTGTCTAAGACTTTTCCCATTTACACCCATTATTTTAAACACTCACTGATGTGCTTTATTCACCAGAAGACTTAGATGACAAGGGAATTCATGACAGGGACGTTGAGTGGCTCCAAGGATGTGACGGTAGGTCACCGGACGTTTATCTTAATTAATTGAATAATTGGTGTTATGTACTTTTGAGACTTAAGCTAGTTCATTTGTAACTGGCAACATTTGTGATAATTTATACAGTTATTTGGACATGTGGCTCAGAGGATACATGTAGAGTTGGAAAAGGATTGTAGCTCCTTATCACAGTCAAATCAAACATCTGGTTACATGTTACAGATTTGGCAAATTACTTTACCCCCATATGGGCCTCTCTGGACCCAGGAGTATGAGGGTACGGAAGGTTGTGCTTGACAGCCATTTATACCTGATGTAGAGTTGTTGACCGGAATACTCCCCATCAGTCCTCTAGCGAGGACCATTTTAGTGCCGGGTAAATTTTTGGATTACCAAGCATAGCTCTCGCAGCCCGTAGGTTTTTAGGGAATCCTAGAAGGGATTTCTCCCTACGTCATTGTGAAGGCATGTGTACAATAATGCTTTTGCAATCAGCGGCTGATTTGCTACGTAAGAAAATGAGAAATATATTTCTTACATCTTTACTTGTTTAAAATTGCAAACTAGCGCAAAACTGCGACTTTGTAAGCTTGAAATATGATCAAATTGGTACATTTTCAGCACTTTTTCAGTTCAGTTTTTTGGAAAATCCGTTTTAGGTGGCAAAGAGCCGGGCAGAAAGTTACAGTACGGGGTGGTACTGCCCAGCACCACCCACTGTGGCTAGAACACTGCTCCCTAGGCACCTGAGATGGCTGTAGGAATGTTCCGATTTTATGAGCCCCATGAGCAGGGAAGTGTTGTCAGATTGCTAAGCACAGTACATATCTCAGTGCTGTGTCATTGTGATTAACTGATTTGCCGGAAAGCACATGCATGTTAACCTGGACTGAACTGTCTTGTGGTATTGACCAATCTAAGTATAAGATCACCGTAGCCTCATGAAATCCCTCAGCAATGGCGGAAGCATAGCGCCAGCAACCTTGCTCAAGAAAAGCTGCCAACAGCCAGTTCTCTGCATGGGTGGTGTTTTTTTTCCCCACTGGAATTTTCCATTCCAACCAGGCCCATTTTCTGTAGAGATGCCAGTCTCGTTCTTCTTTCATCACTGGAGATCTTTTGTTCCATTCTTTGCAGCCGTCGTTGCCGAAGTCACGCAGCCATCCATGGGCGTCGGGTACGAGCTGGGCAGGGCAAGAGCCATGGGGAAGAAGATTCTCTGTCTCTTCCGGCCAGACACTGGCAAATGTAAGTGGTACTGTAAAGAAAAATGCACTTCCTTCTAATAATAATCCTGCTGTTGTGACACTTGTAGATACTGGTACGGGTGTTGCCAGGATTTTTTGGGGGGGGTTGGCAAAGTAGTCAGCAGCAAATTGACAAACTGTTGTTGGTGGTTCAGATAGTCAGTTCAGAGCTATTTTCAAGCAAATTGGTGATTTCGTTCCCAATTTCTCCAATGTTTTTTCTCTTGCTTTTTCTTTTCTCCCCATTTTATGTTAAATTTTTGTTTTCTTTCTACGTGGGTCCCCATGTCCCCACCCCCCCACACAACACCTGTGGTCGCAGACACTTAAAAGTTTGTTCCATTTTCATTTTTCCTGCTAAATAAAGAGACATCTATTGCATTTGACTGATGAGGCAGCATTGTACAGAATATATCCAAAGATAGGAGGGTAAAAAGCCTTAAGATGTATTTTTGATAAGTTGGCAGGGATTTTTGACAATGATTAATTGCTGCTTGTTGGTTAGCTGTGAGAGTCTTCTTTTTTTGCTGATGTGTTTCAGTACTTTCCGGGTTGGTGAATGGAGCCGACAATGGAGAATCATTCGCCATCAAGAATTACAAAGAAGAGGAGTACCCAGGCATACTCAAGGAGTACTTTGATCAATTGTGAGTCCGTCCAAACTTGAAAGGCCCTCCGAAAGATATATATGTTGCCATTTTTTGTTCTGATAGCCACACCAAACCAGTCGCACCCGGAAATTGATTATATTAATAACATACAGAATAAGTGCAAAGTAATTTGTTGATATTTCAGTTTTGGAAAAAAGATAAAAGTGAGAAAACCCATGCATAGTTGTGACATAAAGCTGTGAAAGAAATAACCCTCCTCTGCCATTTTTGTTGGTTTTGCAAGGCAGAATACAAGATATCAGTTATTACCAAAGTACTCAGCTTTGAAGTGCACAACATCTCCATGTTAACTATCAGGTTTCCTTTTCTTTGTTTGATGACATTTTAGATCAAAAGAAAATGTGGATGAACCAGTTGCAGCCAAGAAAATGAAGATGACTGATGATGGAGCAGACAAGGTACGTGAAACATTTGACTGTGGGGAATTTTTGCCGCAGTCCTAATGTAAGCAGAGTTGTAAGTAAATCAAATCAGATAAAATGAAATCACAAGCAGCATTACCAGAACGGGATGGGAGAAAAGGACGTCTCTGACAACAGACAGAACATATTGTCGGAAACGCAGAGTCCATTGGTTGTTTTCTCAACCTCATGCACTCCCAAAAGAGATTTCCCATGTTGCAACCACAAACGCTTGTCACACTATTAGCTGGCCATGTTCCAGCCTGCTTGGAATCTGACCCCCAATCCTAGATTCCAGATATTGAACAAAGTATGGATGTATATCTGCTCAATCCCCAAGTTGACTGGGACTTCTCCAGCCTTGAAAAGTATCCCAATCAAGGAATGTCATTTTCAACTCTTAAACTACCTTTCATAGGAGTCCCAGGACACTGAAAGTAGTCCCTCTAAAGAGAGGAAGGTCTACTTCTGTGGTAGCATCACAGGGGGTCGACAAGATGCCAGCATCTACAGTAAGATCGTTGAAGAGATAAAGACTAGCTATGGGCAGGTGCTCACAGAGAACGTGGCTAAAGAAGATCCTATCATTGCTGTCAGTAAGTGACATAGTTGCTTGCCCTAAAGTGAATTTCGCTTCACTGTTATGTTTAATACACTGATGCTAGAGTCTTTTTTTTTGTTTGCTTGAAAGTTTGTTTTGTTTTGTTTCAATTTCAAGCTATAACTTTCAAATACTGAAGCAAAACCATTCCTTGTTCCCACCTGGGAGGATCAGGCCAGTGCGTCTCTGTAATTGTAGATCATGACTTGCACAGCAGCCCGATCAAAGTCAAAAACAGAAGACTTCCAGTTTTTGTCCGTGCAACAAAATGCTGTCCTTCTGACAAGTACAGAATGGAGTCATCTGACTTAGAAGTCAGAGGGCCTGGTGTTTTTACCTAATCTCTCTCAGGGGCAATCCTTTGCATTGCTCTTTATCAATAGATGGGCAGAAAGTGTCTGACAAAGAAATCCACGAGATGGATATGAAATGGCTTCAGTCGTCCACAGGTAAGTTGCAGTCATGCCCAGTTTTTTGCCTGGATTTGGAACGGGGGTTTACTGTTTGCAAGTAAAGAAATTTATGGTCACTTTGAAACAAATTTAAGCATAACTTGACAGACTAGGTTTGTTGAGGGCTCCACTCTTGGGCATTACAAAACTTTTTAGAGGGAGTTGTCAGTGTCGGTTCAAAACTTGTCACTCTCCTTGAAAAGCTGTCAAATTTCACAAGTTCATCGGAGCAATATCTCTCGCTTTCTCTAATAAACCTTTCTTTGGCTTAATGTGGTCCCTTCGGATAATTTCAATTGCTTACGAAGGTGCCCTGCAAGCAAAAAAGTATAAGGGTCACCCAAGAAGTTTCATAGGCCTCCATGAGTCGGCCCTCTGACTCATAATCCTCTGTTTACCAAATTTGAATTTGGCATTGAACAGAACAGTAGCAACACAGCCTTGCTATATGCACTTGAACTCATACAGGTTGACGAGGCCTACATGTTTGTGTTCTCCCGGGGGTCAAGAAATTGTTGAATGAAGGTTTAACTAGATCATCATGGATTGTTTCTCGTGACTTAGATGTGGTTGCGGAGGTGACACAGGTGTCCACTGGTGTTGGATACGAGATCGGCCGGGCAGTTGGAATGAACAAGAGAATACTGTGTCTTTACCGGTCACGAGATAACTCACGTAAGTGGGTCTGGCATCAGTCTCGTTCCGAAGAGGTTTTGGGCCAGAAGGCCTAACTTCTTACATGCAAAATTGATGCTGAACACCTAACTTTAATGTGCATTTCTATGCAGGTGTTTTGGGATCCTAAAGCAATTAGTTTGATAGCAGCTTGGAAATACGTGAAATTATGTGCTGCCTACCCAGCCCAAAGAGATCAAGAGTGCATTTTAGTGAATCTGTGTCCGTGTGCCTCTTCCAGGAATCTCGGCCATGATCAGTGGGGCTCACAATGGGACTTCGTTCATCGTCAAGGACTACAAGGTAGAGGAGTACGTAGCCGTCCTGAAGGAATTCTTCCAATAAACAATCCCAGCTCAACAGAGGCAGTAACTGTGGAGAGATTTTGACGCAGCACAGTTTAAAACCGTAGCTAGACTGGCTTGCATCAAAGCCACGGTACTGATAAGTGATTGCTCTTAACGGGTCAATGTTTGGTGCCGATCTACTGGGTGTAGATTGCATCGGTGGTGTTCAGCAACATGTTTTGAAATGTTGAACTATAGTTCGGCCAGAGCCACTTTTTATTTCGGTATTTTCATGCTTCATCAGGAATTTCCTGGGATAATTATGCCTAACTGTAAGACCTCCATGCATCAAACTATGTAATTCCACCAGCTTTGAACAAAGATGTATTTTTATAAACTTCTTTTGAATTTTAAAAGTGCACCATGCTTATTTCGGAGCTTAACTATGGGGAAAAGTTGGATTAATATATGATTTTATATTATGTGCTCAAGAACAGGTTGAACATATTGGCCAACATATTATCACAAACCTAAATTTGTTAGACAGGTGTCGTGATAGTTATTTTGACAGTGAGATATACACACTTTATAAGAAAGTACCAGCACAGTTGTGTGTGACATTCAGATCGTAATGGAGATTTTTTTCCTACAACCAGTGAAAGACCATTTCTTACATAGTCCTGTTTGCTTGTGACAGACTAGAATGTTTCTTTTCTTCTGGTTGATGTGATGCGATTCAGCACTTGGACCAGTTTGCAGCCATTCATGTCATGTCTCCTACGCAGGCTGCTTTCAAATCTCCTGTGGACAGTGCAGGCTGTCGAACACCAATACTATTCTTGATTTCGTTGGTGTCGGAAGTGATTTCACTGAGCTGGCAAGCAGAGAACATTGAATAGTCAATTTTGAGCCAAGTCCGAGTGAGCAGAGAACCAGCCTCAAGTAATGTGCTTTGCATGGCACTTCGACTGGTAACCCATTTTTGCCAAGCATATCTTCTGTGCCTTGCAAGCGTCTGTGTTCAGTAGCTCTACAGGTTGTACCCAAGATACGGCCAAACTTTGTATAAACAGAAGCAATGGTGGTGACTGTCTTGTGTCGCTTAAAACCACAGAGCTCAGTCACATTGGGATTTAATAAAGCACTAGTGCAGCTATCAAATCACATGTACCTGTTCAACAGTGTTTCATCTCAAGAACAAAATCTTAAAGTGGAAGATTTTTGTCTCTAGCACCAGATGGTGGTCTTTATTACACAAACAGACACACTGTAAACAACCAAAATTTGCAGATACACAAAGGCAAGTTGAAGACAAGAACAAATCACGTAGGAAGTGCCCGAGCAAGTTCACTTCTTGGAGCACGATGTATAAGATCTGTTTTAGGAAAACCAGATTTTTGAAGCAAATAATCAGCTTGGCATAATCTCACCCTACATCATAACATGATTAAAACTGAAACCTCCACCAAAGGGAATTTTTTACAAATTCATCAATGCACTTGAGTAACTAAACAGACTGGGACAAGAAAAAGATAAATCCTTGAAAGTTCACTATCTTCACACACTCTGGTAAGAATCGCAAAGTTCACGTTGTACTTTCGTTATAAATAAAAAATCGAAAATTACAGGATATTACTGGTTAAGAAGGATATAAACCTACTGCACTTCCGCTTGCAGGCAATCAGTAATCATACATGAACATGAATAATCATAGTTTCTTTTCAGGACAACCCAAGCTGCTGATTTTTTTCCCCAGGGCTTTCAAAAGCCCTTTCGTAAGTCCCTTCGCAAGTCCACTAACAAACTGCATAAATTGTTGGCAAGTTATGATTGCTGGAGACCCCAACAGGTCTTTACAGTATCACAACTGTTTTACCTTCACACTTAAACTAATTCACAATTTCCCTTTTTTATGATAGCAGGTTCCTCTGGTGCTTTAGCATGAGAAATTGAGGCTTCTTTGAATAGGGCCATACCATCTTTTGTAATGGGGTGGGGGTTGGAGGCAATGCTATTCCGAGTCACAGTGTCAAGAGGGTATTGTGGAAAAGACATAGACAAACAAGGGTTTTAATCTTGGAGCAGAAAAACTAAATCGAACGCATAGTCAAACCCCACCTCAATATCAACCCTGTGACCTACATGTACAGGCGGAGTGGGATCCAACGTTCGAGTTGTGTACCGCAAGTAAAAGCGACCTACATGTTTAACCACTTCCTGCTGGGGAGCCTGGTTTCCAGCACCGTGTGTTCATACGCAGAGCCGGGGTGCCCGGTTCCGGACAAAAGAGCTGGTCTGTGTAACAAAAGACTGTACTCGGAACAAAGGACCTGCAGCTGCGAATTGCCATCATTTTTCGAAGGTAATCCGGCACCGTTTTGAAACAGCATACATGTGCCACTGTATTGGGGTATAGCCCACCGGCAGATTAGCACCGTGGACAAAAGTGCTCCAGGGCCCCTTTGATGAGTGGCACGGCGGCGCCGCTGCTCACTAATCCAGCCTCCTATGAAAAGATGCTACTGGCATTCACTGGAACAAAGGAAATTATGCAACACCTCACAATTCTGGGCTCACTTTTACAGGGCTGCAGGCCTGAGCTGAATACTTTGGCATCAATGAAGGTTGCCTGACCGATTAGAATAGCCACCAGAGAGTCATTCGTGTGGGTGTAAACGTCCAGTAAATGAACACATGAATTTTTGAAGAATTTTAAAAACAGAAAATCTTGAAAAGGTCCCGCCATCACATCCCGCTCAAGAGAATTCCACCCGGCAGGTAGTGGTTAATGCTCCTTTTTAAACCTAAAGTTTGTAGAGGAGTCTATAAGCGATTCCATTTTGAGCATATTATTTACACAATTCATCACAAGGCAACAATGCATCTCAGTCTGATGAAACTTGTTAACTAAAAATTTTTTTTTTAAAAATTGCAAGTAATCAACAAGCAAAATAGTTTATACATACAGAATCTCTTCAATACATATATACACAATTAAAAGCTTTTTCTATACATTATTAGAATGTACAAGAAAGTTGTTCTCTACGAACCATACATGCATTGGTGGATCCAAGGGTCCAACGGGGCCATCCCCTCCCAAATAGAGCAAAACCCTTTTTGAAAAAAATGCACAGAAGGTGATTTTTGGGTCTATTTACATTCCTTTTGTCTAAAAGCACATAGAAAGTCCCAAAATAAAGCCCTCATCCCTCCGAAAGGCCATAAAAGGGTTACATCAGTTCCAAATTTTTGTTTCTTTCCCATGTGACCCTGGATCCACCCCTTGCATGCAAGTACTACAAATGTACCCATAGACACTCCTTCACAGTGTGCCTTGCTTCACAATGAGTTAGTCTTTTGTAAAACGTATACTCAACAGAGAAACATGTACAGTACTTCCAATTCAAAAAAAAAATCTCTCATTTACTGGACTTGATGAGGTCCGTACATGTCACTACGTGCTCTGAGCATAATGTGAGAACATGACAACAATGTTCAAGGGGAGAGATACATGTGAAAGGAGTATCTATATGCCCCATTTGGTTACTATTAACACAATGTGCATGACGTGGTGGCTTCAAAACAACCATGCACATCATGCACATGATCATTTTCTTTACCAGTGCACGGTATATACTCATTTCTAGAGGCAGTGACTAGACCGTTGTTTCAACAGCTCCAGCGACATAGCTGGAGTAAAGTTTCTGGGGAGGTACCTGTGAAAGCAACTAAACTGAAGGTTATCCATAAGATGTGTACATTAATTTCAAATGGGGGTGGGGACCTGCAAAGGGTAAGGAATGCTTCACCCCCCCCATAGTTACACCACTGATTACATGTAGCTCTGCACATTCAAAGTGTTACTGCATAATGTGGGCATTGGCTAATATGGCATCCATTTCTCCTACTTTAAACACTCAAGTACGCTCTCAACCGTTATTTCTTTCTCCACAAGTAAACCCTACACACTCTGGAGATTGGAAATGAGAAACCCTATTAAGATGTAAAGTGTGATGTGTGTTCCCAATGGCCTTCCACACACATTTTACATATAAATTAATGTAAAAAATATCAAAAGGAATGTTAAAAAGGTGAGGTCAATTAGCGATTCACATTTTGAGAACATCAAATTACGAGAGGTCATAAAAAGTGCAGCTATGGTCAAGTTATGATACTGCACGCATGTTCATATCAGCCTCGGTTTTATGACACTAAAATGTAGGTAATCAACCAATATAAAGTATGGCGGACACACTACGAGGGCGTTATTTGGGTTGGGTAAAATCTTCCATGTTTACTCAGAACTTAACCACTTCAAATAGTACCTTCCTACTGTGTCCGCCATGCTTCAAATAGGCAAATGAGTGTTAGGATGCACACATCCACGCTTCCACACACCACGTTTGTTAATGATGACACTCTGATTTAATTGTACTGCATTCATCTGATTTGTGGGGGGGGGGAATCCTTCAGTCACTGTTTACACGGTAGTTCCAGTATGGTAACGGTAGATCATTCCATAAAAGTCGGTCAGAATGTATCAACTTTGACGATGTGCCTGCGAAACTCACTTGCAGAGTCTATTTCGATCCAGAATTTAGGCCAACATCAAGAAGATAACTCTTTTATCTTAAGAAATATCCGGTGCACTGCAACTTCAATACTTCCTAAGGAACAATACTTCCTGCTTCCATTGAACAAGTAAACATGTCACCAGCAAACTTCACTTTAGTCTCTTCTTCCGTTCATTCCAAGACAGGCTTAAAAACGCGGAACACGGAATGACACAAACACAGCTCAAGGAACCAGAGAATGTGTTTCCATGGTAACTGATGACAACGCTCGAGGAAGACATCACTAACCAAGGTGGGGCAGGGCGGGGAGGGTCCACTCGCTCAGAATTGCGTCCCTTTTCCTTTGTGTATGGACGGAAGCTGATAGTGGCCGTACATTGATTTTGTGGGTTCCTGGAAGGAGGTGGACTGTAAAAGCAAGGACGAAAATGAGAAAACAGTTGCACATATCCCCCAAGGTTTTGAAAGATGCACTGAGCATGTATGAAATGAAGGCAGTGTAACCATAAAGCTCTTAAAATCCCTCATATATCAACTGTGTAGTAATCACAAGTCAATCACCAGGCAATGATCCGTCACTCACTAGTCAACTGGTTTTAAGGTAAAAAAAAAGGCACAGCTATTTAAATGAATTGTGAAAAAGGCATTCCTTTGTCACAGTTCAACAGTTATGTCATCACTGCTCATCTTTAGCTATGAAGATGTGCTCGTGATTTGAACCATTATTGGCTCATGAGGGTCATGGCTGTTACTCTGCACAAGGAGTTTTCATGACTGCTGGGATTTTGCCAATTTGCCTTGACCGGGAGAACTGGTTAGTCTGGCAGGAGTGTAGGGAACCTGATGTGGGTGAATCACCTACCTTTTTGGTGTGCTGGTGGTGCTTGTTGTAGTGGGTGTTGGCTATGCTGGGCAGCATGGACGGACCCGTGTGCAGCTTAGGGAAGGTGGAGGAAGGAAAGGAGGACATGGTGGGGAAACTGGTCACGTTGGAGGTCGTGAGCTGGTTGGACTGGGCCACCTTGGGCAGGAGGGTGGTGTGGTAGGTCTTGTCGGTCTCCTGGAACCGACGGGGTTTCCTCTGGGTTTGAAAAGAGAATAAACCAAGGAAAGAAATGAAGGCAATGCTATACTTTTCAGGCAGGAGTTTGGAGTGTTATGTCACTGAGCTTTCAACCAGCATTTTTGGTGTAACACTGTAAAAGATCAAAACAAAAAGATTCATTTTGTGGGATCCGGTGGCTTATCTGGCTTGCATGCGACCCATGGTTTCTGTCAGGTACACCCTCACAAATTGAGACCTCCCCAATCCCATCAAGACTTTTAACTCTGTTGGCAGGACCCTGATGTCATATTCTAGGGGTCAGAGGTTTCAATTTTTCAGTAAAGTTTCTTTGGCAAACATGGACAGTCAAGATGAATGTCGGTGGTTCCCGTGGATTCAGGTACAGACTTACTCTTCTTCTCTGCTGCGGTTGGTAAGTTGCATCCACCTCCTTGGTGGTGATGATGTGGTTGTTGTTAGTGGTCTTAGCGTGCGTCTCCTCCATCGAGTTGGGTGACATCTTCCCGGACTCCTCTTCAGCCTTCTTGGACGTGGCCTGTTGGTGCTTCCTCTTGTCTGCCTCTCTGTATTAAGAACAAAACTGATTTATGTCTTCTCCTGTTTGAAATCATTGCAGCACCTGCTGGGAAAAATCTGCAATTTGCAGATACAGAGTTATGGAAAAGAAACCAGAATATTAGCATTCCACGGCAATAATTAGGAATTTGGCAGAATTATACACGATTACAATTTAACTGAAATGAGGTTTTCATCCTGTTTGGCCATACCTGGTATTTAATACAGACAGTAAACATTATGGCCTTATAGATGCACTGGACATAGAATGTAGTCACTTTGCCTACCACCCCAGCAATTCTACATCTTATGCTTCTGCTTCATTTAAGCATAATGTAATCACGGTGAGACGGCAATGGTCCACCAATGTTTTTCCCGGGTATGTAAATCCTGTGCTTGGTGCATGTGCATCTCAGAAAGTCAAAAAAGTGCAAAATCTATCAGTGGCCTGCAAGCCACTGTTTCACCAGATAACGTAAATAACCTATCTGTCCTTAACCCTTAAGGTGCTAGATTTACTTTGCATAAAATCTACTGCATAAGACGTTCCCTTGCTCTATGAGGAGGCATATAATTAAGTTCATATGTACACGTTTGCCTAGTCATACAGCAAGAAACATCGATGTACCTGTGGTTAAAGTGCTCCCTTCTGGTACCAAGAGAATTACCTACCAGCACGTAATGCATTTCACAATGTGACCTGTTACACAGAGGAGACCCCTTACAAGTTTCATGGAGGTGGCACTGTTCCTTCCTTCGTTTGCCTTTCATTGAGCTGTGAATGACACACCTCAGAAAGCTGTGTACTGTATTACCACTGGTGCCAGCTCAATTAAGATAACTTTATGTAAGTACTACCGAGTAACAGGTCCATCCATTAACACTAATACAAATTCTGACTGATTGGAAGCTTATCAGGTTGTGGATTGGGAGGCAAACAACCTCACTTGTTTCAACTTACATCACCATGTTTGTACCCTACCGGTATGTGTACAGTGGAAATCATGTGAGCTGTTCCTTTTTATGACACAACAGAACAATTCTGGTTGTTGGGAAATGGTCAATCACCTTGAAAAACAACAGATAATTTTTATGTCGCAGTGTTTGCAGTACAACTGTATGTACATGTATGCAGGTATCAGCAATAAGAAGATATGCATACATGTACATGTACGTATACAGAGCGGCCTTCTGTACATGTGCACCTGTACCACTATCAACATAGACGATTAAATATATATGGGCATGGATAGTCAATAATGATATGAAACACCCCATACAAAGAAACCACTTTATGCAACAGTTGTATATACTCAAGTAAAAGCTTTGACTAAGAAAGCATCCGAAAATCTCTTCAGTGAATGTCGAGTGCTCCATCTACTGTAATGCAGATTACTTAGTTTACGTGAGGTGAAGCCAAGAAAAATCAAAAGTATGATGTATGCGTAACATGCATGAAGGCCAAACATATCAGGCAGAGTCCTCCACTATATTGAGCACTGTCTATGACCTTTCACCCACATTGATGGGTGTACAGTGTTATTTCTCATCCTCGACACTGACAGTTCACATTGGGCATCTACAGCAACAACAGAAGCCACATACATGTACACAGGGCTCGACATTGGGCTAACCATCACGGGAGCAAGTACTTGCTCCCTTGACGGCTGAATTTGTCAGTTTACGGAGCAAGTAGCTCCCATATGCCATATACGTTCTAGAAAATTAAACAACTTAAGGCCAAACAAACTAATAGTTGTGCTTCTGATAAGGCCAATATTGATACATATTGGTTGGGTGGGGGGTAGTATTTTTTTTGTCTTCTAAAATTTTGGGTCAATATTTTTGGGGTGAGGAAATTTTGTTTGTTGTTTTTTAAATTAGGGGGACTACCAATGAAAAGTGATTTTGATGGTTTACAGTGTATTCTATTCACTATTTTTCCTGCAGATTCTGAACTTGAGGATTGGTCTTGTCAAAGATTGTATCCACGTCAGAGCTTCATACACATATACATTTGTGTTGCACTGACAATTCAAAAACTTAACCACTTCATGCCGGGGCATTTTTCAGTGCCCCAAAACCCTGGTATACGGTTTCAAAACAAGGCTGGATTATCACCGGTTTGAGAGTGAAAAATGTCGGT